GGGGGCACCCCCTTCCCCGTCCCCAGCAAGCACCCCCGCGTCCTGGCCACGTGGGTGGTGAGCAACTACAGGGAGAGGCACGAGCGGACCCGCGTGTACAAGCAGCTGAGCCGGCTGATGGCGGTGGACGTGTATGGGCGCTACGGGCGGCGGCCGCTGAGCCCCGAGGGGCTGCTGCCCACCATCTCGCGGTACCGTTTCTACCTGGCCTTCGAGAACTCCGTCTACCGCGACTACATCACCGAGAAGCTGTGGCGCAACTCCTTCCAGGCGGGCTCGGTGCCGGTGGTCCTGGGCCCCCCCCGGGCCGACTACGAGGCCCAGGCGCCCCCGGGCTCCTTCATCCACGTCGACGACTTCAACTCCACGGGGGAGCTGGCCGCCTTCCTGCGCGGGCTGGCGGCCGACGAGGGCCGCTACCGGAGCTTCTTCGCCTGGCGGCGGCGCGGCAGGGTGCACCTGTACACAGACTGGCGGGAGAGGCTGTGCGCCATCTGCGCCCGCCACCCCCAGCTGCCCCCGGGCAAGGTCTACCACGACCTGGACGCCTGGGCTCGCTGGTAAGGAACAGCCCCCGCCCCCCCCCGCCCGAGCCCAGCAGGGGAAAGGCGTTCCTCCGGGGTTCGGGGCGCTGGCGGACTCGGGACGAGGGGAGCTATGTCGAGGGTGGGGGGGGCGCGGGTGTGCACGTCCATTTCCCCCGCCCCCCCCCCCACCTTCCGGCTGGATTTCATTGGCAGATCGATCAGAAGGGGGATGGATGGGGAACGCAAGAGGTCCCAGTTCCGGGGGTGAGGGTGGAACTGTGTTTCCCAGTGGAGACTGCTGGGGGGAGGTTTAGAGACGGTGCTTCCTGAGATGGAGATGACGCCTCCTGAGAGGTGCTGTATCGACAGTTATATCACAATCGAAAGATCGGCTATATAGCTACGACATACAGCCGATGTGGGAGCATCCCTGTCAGCACCGGACCCAGAACTGGCGGGAGGACGGCGGTGGAGTGAATCGTCCACGTCAGGCCCTTGCAGAGCAACACAGCTCAAGGTGGCCCCCGGAAGACGCCTGTTCTCTAACTCTTAAACTGACGTCGCTGTTGTTCTAGAAAGTGCAATTTGAGGGTTGGGGGAGAGGGGTGTGTGTGTGTGTGTG